AGAGAAAGATTGTTGTTATTTCATGAAAGGCTGAAGGGGTGAAACTACAAAGCTACCCGGCATCAGTTATTCGTTTTTTTAGCACAAATTCACTATTTTCCTCGTCCATTATATCACACTTGAGGCCTTTTAGTTCAAAATAAGACAAATTAACCTATTAGAGCGCCTTATTATGTTTTTGAAGAATGAACTGGTTCCGGTTAACAGTTTTGGTTTCAGTGACGGTTTACATTTTCAGACTCCTACCACACGACCTCAGTAATCAGATTTACCAACTCCACCCCCAACGCCATTTCTTATCGGTTGACGCTGGCTTCGTGGCGTTATCGTTCGTCTTGTCAGTGCCGCTCGTATCGCAATGCGAGGGATTCTTAACAAGAGGGTTCTTCTCTGGTAAGTCCAGGTCCTCAGCACTGCATGGAAAATCTAAATATGTAGAAGCGATATCTACAAAAACAGGTTTGCATGCCACTATCTGGTAATCCGGCGGGAAGCGCACCACATTCTTCGCTACCACAATCTCATTGCCGGAGACCTCCGCCAGGTATTCCGTTACACCGTACGATCTATTTACGCCCTCGGGCTGCGTCTGGGTGCATAATGCAGTGGGGGTGGAAGAAGATGAAAACTGTCTAAGAATACTGTTAACTTTCATTTCCAACGAGGTTTGTTCGGCTAACTCGCGGATCTTTATTGCGTTTGGTGTGCTGACTTGGTCTAAAAGAGTCGCTACCTCACGATAACACGCCTCTGCTTCAGCCTCAGAACCACTAACACGAAAAGCCTCACCCATGTAAAGAAACTTTCCAGCGCGGCATACCCCAGACAACACCTCCAAGTCCTCTTGACCCGAAATTCCAGGAAGAATCTCCATCTGCTCCACCGCATTCATCGCCGCCTCGTAGAGCCGAACTACCTCTAGTGGCGAAGCGAACTGTGCCGGGGTGATTCCTCCCTTTTTGTGGGCACGTGCCCGCCGAATGACTTTTCCGCCACTCCCGGGCTTTGCGTTGATCGGCGAAGCTGAAGAAGACGCCAGGACGCGCTCTGTAGCATGGAAACACCGGCTACGAACTTCCGCAAGAAAGAGCGAGCGCTGCATCGAGCTCTGCGCGACCTCGTAAAGAAGGTAGTGAACCACAAGCTGGAGCTCCGTCTTCGAGCGGCTGTCCTCGAGCGCGCTGCGGTGATCCTGCTGGGCGTGGCTGAGGGCGTCGTTGTAGCTGCTCATGCGGCGGTCCATCAGGTCGAGGAGCTTGTGGACCTGCCCGACAGGGACCACGTCGTCGCCCTCAAGAAGCTTCGCCTGAATGGCCTCGAGCGGGACACGGCGGGCCTCGCGCAGGGCGTCGCGCACTTTGATGTTGGTCACCCTCAGCTCGTGCCCGTTCCAGTGCAGCGTCGTCGTGGCGTCGTAGCATCCGCTCAGCGCAAGCGAGGCCGGGTTGTATGCCGTGAGGTCCTCGCGGAGCTGCTGCATGCTGTAGACCACACGATCGTCCATCTCACTCACCTTGAGCGATAACACGCGGTTTGCCTCCTCGGGGTCGGGTCGGCGGGAAAGAAGATCGAAATAGATCGCACGCGCGGACATAAAGGACGCCTTTGCCTTTTTGAAGTCTTTTTGAGAGGTGGCCACACGCCCGATGGTTTCCAGAAGGTAGGCCTCGCATTCCGCCTGGAGATGAGCCGAGGCAACACTTTTGGCGATTGCATTTAGCTTCTCGGCCCATTTCACGGATTTATTGAGCCGCTTGCGGTACTGATCAGAGGGTGGAATGCCGCCGCTGGGCTTGTTGATTTTGGATTGTGATTCGATAAAGGATTGACGTTGCTCGCGCAGCGACTCCGCTGTTGCCCAGCATCGATCTGCATAAAGTGCTAGGAGCATTAAATGGCGTGGATCAGAAGCGTTGTGAACCGTCACTCCCTTTTTTAAAAACTTCTTCTTCTCGTTAGAAAGACCAAGCTGCCGCCGAAGTGTGGCCAGGCGCCTTGTAACGTAATGGCTATAACGAACATAGTCATCTGCTCTCAAACCATGTTGAAGCTGTGTTTCTTTGAGAAAAAGAGTCAAACCGAAATCAATAGGATCGGACATTTAGGGAATTCCTAAGATAATTGTATTATATTTGAGTCTGTGAAATCCAGTGATAAGCAGGAATATTGTTTCAAATACTAAAAAGCAAGCAAAGCGCAACGAAAATGACAAAAGCGATGCGACGGAAGACGAAAGAATTATATGCGAAGGGAATACAATAGAAGAAAAATCATTTTGGATCTTAAGTCGCGCAGCACCACAGCTGTGCATTGCTAAGTTGTGTAAAGGCAATAAAGAAACGGAAATAAATGCAGCCTCGACGAATCAACTGAAAAAGAAAGAGAAGGATTTTTTAGGGGGAGGGAAGAAATAACGTGCCAGACACACTGGAAAGGAGGATAATCATAGACCACGTGTTACACGAAGGCATTCCCTATAGCGATGCTACTTTTTTCGCGTCTCCTTACTCCTTGGAGTGGAACTTACGAACCTGGACCTGGAAGGCAAGTGAGTCGGCGAACATGCGCCCCTTCTTTGTGAGGCACTGCCCGGACGTCTTGCCGCCGCTCACGAGGCCGAGCTTAGTGAGGGACTTGCAGGACCAGTGGAGGAGACCGGTGGCCGCGCGTACCATGTGCTCAGGCCGGCTGCCGTAGTTCTTCTTGTTGGAGAAGCGCTTGCTGAGGCCGCCGTAGCCGACACCCGGGCGAAGGTAAATCGCACGCAGGACGGCAGCGCAGCGGATATAGTACCAGTCTGGGTTCTGCGGGGCACGCTCGCGGCCGCAGGAAGTTTTCACGAGCTCCGTACAGGACGGAACAAAGAGGTTGCCCTCACACTTGAAGTGGCGAGCAGCTGTCTTGATCCAGTGCCACGCGTTGACATCGCGGATGGTGGCGCCCTTCCGCTTGCCGACGCGGAGACCTTTGCCCTTCTTGCTGATATCCGTTGCGACCATCTTTCCTTGTTTGTCGTTGAGACGATCACGAAGATACTTTTTCACAAAAAGTTAAGAAAAGGTGCAAAGAGGAGTGGAAATTTTAAAATATATCAGAGCCTCTACAAATCCTTATTGTTTGTAAAGAAAATAACTAGGAATTACACGTGATATTCATGCCTTCATCGGGGCATGGAGCATGCACACGAATCAGTGTGCATGTCAAATGCTCAAGCTCCCCTTTTCTTGATATTATCGTGTGATATATAAAATATCCACAGCATTTTCGACTACATTAAGATATAGCAATTATCAAAATAAAAGTACAGCACAATGTCATCAAAAAATCATCGGAACCAGGACATCAAAATTGGGAATATTTTAATAAAACTGTGTGCATACACGTGACATTGATGCACGTGAATCCAGCACACGATGATCGTTTTCCCTACGCTTCGTCTCTTTTGCTCATTAAACTTAGTTCTCATAGGCATCATTGTATTCGAAAAAATCTTCCAGGATAGGATTTCTAATGAGGTTGGTTAACGGTTGCTTTATTGTACGCGGGGGAAGCATCGCACCGCGTCTACTCATGCACTCGTCTGTTGAGACTCTTGACGAGCTGCTGTTGCTACTTCCGCTCATACACGGCACCATTAAAACGGCTTCATCACGACAAGAGGCTGGTGGCGCTAGCGGCTCCTTGCACGTGAAGCTCTCATATGTCTTAAACTCCAAGGAAATGCTATCCTTCACAATTCCTTTTAAAACGCTATGAATATCACCCCGCAGGATGGCGATGGCACCCATATTATTCGCGCCGCAATAGTTCGGGGCTGAGAAAACGGTCAGAGCATTGCCACCACATGACCAGTGGTAGCCGTCCATTACACACTGATGAGCGCGGACAAGGAAGTGAAACCGTGGAGCTACCATCGGAAAGTCTGTCACAACGTCGCCAAGCGTCCATGGGCAAGAAGGATTATGAACGGTAGGCTCGTAGCGGTGTCCATAATTGGCCTGGAGGAACGTCTCTATAATATCTGCGCCGAAGGAATAGCCGTAGCCACGATGATTGTGCCCGAATCCCAGAATATTCTCCTCGGGATCCGACCAGAGAAGTCCACTGATGATGTTATTGCTTTGATCCTCGTTATCTCCACAAGGGCTGGAAGAACTGCTGTCGCCCAGACGCGGGGAAGACAGTGAACTGCTGCCAGCAATAGAGTTTCTCGAGTCCGAATACTGCTGCACTCGCCCAGAGGTGAAGTTGCGTTGTAGGCTGTAAGATCGCCGGCATAGGTGCTGCAGGGCCTCGATGCGCTTCATGTGCGGGCTGAGGCCGCCGTGCGCGCAGAAAAAATACCCCGCCCCGCAGCGCACCACCGCCGCAAGGGGCAGCCAGCAAAATACTGTGTTGAAACAGAGCCATATTTTGGTTGCGTGGTCACCACCGCAGTGGGCTCCACCAGGTCGGATAATGGCGTGGCCGCATCCCCCTCCTCCAGAAGACATGGTCGAGAAAGCACCACAGCCACCGCTGGTCCTATCCTGTCGGTGGGAACTATTGGATTCGTGAAAACAGCTGCCCTGTGGTTCGGTATAAGCGTCACTTTGAGAGGGTTGGTAGTTGTTGCCCTTGTATCGGTAGTCGTGAGGACACTCCACGGAGGAGAACTTTGCTCGGCATTCGTAAAGAAAACCATACATGCGACTTGTCTGCGCTTCCTCATGATTGCCGCGCAGCAGGAAAATGTGATTGGGATACTCGATTTTGAGCGCAAACAAGAGAAGAATGACCTCGACGCTGCATGGACCGCGGTCTACATAATCCCCCAGGAAAAGAAACTTAATAACTTGATCGGCATCACCAGTCATGACTCGTGAAGTTTCTGAAGGTGCACGGTCGGTCGCCTGGAAGGTGAAATTCTCACCATATCTATCACTGGAGCCTTTCAAAGGTATCGTGGTTTGGGTAACACCGCGGTGATTCTTTTCAAGCGTGATTTTTTCGTCTGTGTTTTCCATGACCAGACCGGATGCCTCTTCGTGAATCAGATAATTGGTGTCGAAAAGACTACAGTATCCGTCCCTATTTGGCAAATGGGAATGGGGTTGAACCCTTCTGCTACCCATAAAAGGTCGCTTTGCAAGGTGGATTCCTAACACATTGTGAAGCAAATCATTGAACTGGCCATGAATGTCACCAACAATTACCAAATTCTCCTGAGCGTCCACATCAACACCCAACACAACCGGTTCAACCGCTAGAATTTTACTCGCATTCTCACATAACTTAATCACCTCAGCATCATCTGCTAAGATTTTCGTGAAATCAACGCCACCATTGGAGGAATTGTAGTAGCCAGATATGAAATAAGATATTAACCTAATGTATCTCCCATATGCAGGGGGAATATCGTGTGGGTCATAGAAAAAATATATAGGTTCTTCTGACGAGAATGAATGTTCTTTCTCTTCGTTATGATCTCCCTCACAGCTATTAATCTTAATCATAAGAACTGAAAACACCGAATGCAATTTGAACAATTTAGGAAAGTGTATAAAAATAATAAATTTACTGTAAAACGAAAAGTATATAATAAAACTTTATCAATAGTATATTTGCTTTGGTGTTGTAATGGCATTCAATGTTGTTTTGAAATGTTGTTGTCTATCTTTCTTTGCGTTTGAAAACAGGATAAGGGGAGACATGCAGTATAAAGAACAAAGTTGTCATGGATTACCAACGCACATATTGATTTACTCTCCTTTTATGTTTATCCTTTTCCATATCTTTCCAATATGCCTCTAAATATTTTATAGAATAATTGATTGTTGAAGGCACGTGTCCTCCTTTGTTTTGCTTTGTATATTCAATAGTAAAAAACGAGTATACTGTCATATACATACATACATATACACACATATACATACATATATATATATATATATATCAGAAAAGCGTTGCACCCTTCGTTGTAATTATATAAATTGCAATTGGTTTTAGCTTCAAATTAGAATTCGATATATTACTTCTCGCCATAACGCCTAAAGGCAAGTAAAAGGGATCTAATTGTTATCTAAAATATGTTTGTGAAATGTCAATGCATTGAGTTGTTAAGATCTTTCAATCTTCTGTAACTCCTAATAATAATAATCAGGCTACGTGCTTGCCGATATTTGGAAAAATAGGACCTAATGACAGAACAACAACCGGATCAAGCTTATGATCTTGTCTGTCTGTTCTAAAATCTCGACCCCGCAGTGTATTCAAAGAGGGTGGACGATCAAAATTACTATAGTTTGTGCGTTTAATTACTGATAGCTTATCAGTAATAGATCCTTTCTCATTATTAAGACTCGTTTTGAAGGCTTCAGATGCGACTTCAGCCATTGTCGTTGGTTCCGATGTGCATGGTGCATTCTGTGGGCAGCTGCATAGGTCTTCGAGTGGTGGCATGTACGAAGAACCCGTGTTTGATTCGTTTCTTGAGCTCACTCCGACGCCACCCCGCTCGTGGCTGCTCCACACTGAGGTGCAAAGGCTGGTTAAATCCTCAAGGCCCCGAAGGCTTCCATTCCCCATGGGTAAAAAGGCTTGAGAAACCTCAACTTTCTTCAAGGACGACCCACTCGCACCGGGGAAAGAAGCCAAAGAAATATCCGAAATCGCGAATCCCGGGGGAGGGTTGACAGCAGACACTGGCGGCAATGAGCTGGATTCGAAAATGGGGGGCAATGGGGTGTACCGAGTGTCAAGGTGCGTCTCCGGCAAGGCGGAAGTGGGCTTCTTCGGCTCCGCTCTCATGGCATGGGGGTCCGAACGCGCGGTGTCGAGATCCGGCTCCCCATGACCGCGGTGCGACCGAAGAAGCCTCAGAGGGGTCTGTGACAGCCCCGTCCCGGGGGAGGGGGAAAAGGGGGACCCTGCGTCGCCTGAGGCCTTCGCGCGCGACCGCGGGAGGGCCCCCCCAGTTGAGGGCGTGCGGGGCGCATCCGCGAGGGACGGGGCCGATGGCCGTTTCGCGCCCGCCTCGTCGGACGGGGGGGCGCGCGCGGCGAGCTGGCCCAAGAGGCTGCAGTAGAGCCTGGCAAACGGCGTACCAGGCCGCACCCCGCACAGCAACATGCAGTCTTCGACACTGAGAGAGCCAAGGGAGGGGTCTCCGGCCGCGGGCACCCCCACATCGGCTAGCGGCTTCAGCCCGGAGCGCTCCAGCGGG